ATCGTCATGATTTGCTTAACATATTGAATACAATATAAGTCATTAATATTTGTTCGTACATTCGTAAAAATGTACCAAGAAAGTTCGTACCGTTTTTAGGTTAATTTATCATTTACAGGGGCGAGAATTTATGTATGGTGTGAATAGACTGCAACCCAGTAAAGGTTTCTATCAAAGATTCCAATTTATGATAAAAATAGTTAAAATAATAACAATTTGTCGACAAAATGGCTAATGATTCACAAAAACTAATTGAAACTTGGGTTAATTTGAGTTAATCGAGTAAACCTCCAAACAGAGTTAATCCAAGATCCCCAAAATTAACGCTTCACTTCTAATCATTTAAATCACAAATGCTCTTGGATCCCTGATAGTTACTATTAAAAGATATACAGGATGTTTCAAAAGTGTCTTAAAAATATTCTACATTTATTAACATTGCTATAATTTGTTTAACATATTGAATAGATGCTCGTTTTGGAAACCTATAAAAAATGATTCTTATTATTCCATTTAAAATATTACAAAGTATATTTCGTAATATAAAAATTTAATCAACTGTGAAAATTATAATGAAAAGCTTTCGAAAAATTTATCTTACTAACAGAAAAAGTAATTATTATTATTATATTGATGTAGCGATTTTTAGGGATTATGGAAATTTGGAAGTCAACGTATTGGAATAAAACTTGTCGAAGATCATTCAACGATCGCTTAATAAAATATACCTAAGCACTTTGATTTTCACCTTGGCAATAGTTAAACCAATTGGCACTCAATGCGCGCATCCATTGACAAGAAAAGACCGTGCAGAGCGATTTAAAGTTCCTCGCCTCTAATTACGCGGGAATATTTCCTAATCAGTGCAGTTTCACCGGCGCCAGAACGCCACGGTCGACATCATTTTGACCAGGCCATCCACGTACAGTACACGTATAGTACATGTACACACCACGCCTCGTTCTGCAGTCGATACAATATTTATTTTACGGATTTTCCAGCGAGGAATCCACTTCGAAAGAACTTCTTATCTCGAGAGTAAAAGTATGTTTCTACAAACATTTGAATATTCTGAAAGTAATCGTTCGAATTTATTTCATTATATTTATTAACCCTTAACTCTTCTACGTCGAAAATGGCTCGATATAATACAACGCAATTTCTAAAATAATTTTAAATGTTTAAATATGAAATTAAGGAGTACAAAAGGGATAATTCGATCGGTACGATCGTTTTTTAGATACACTGTTTTGGTTAGATTGATTAACCAGATAATTGTGGAATTAATTTTTAAAAATCTTTAACAGAATATATAATCAAAATAAACCAATAACAAGTATTCACGTAGAACGCAGGACAAATGCTCCTATAATAAATTTGTCGAGAAATAATAAAGTTCATAAAAAAGAAAAATGGAAGAACAAAAATAATATTAAGAAATTCAGTTGATTTCAAGCTTAAAAAATTTTCATGGTTTGTTTCGCTTACAATACAAATAAGCATCATAATATACCTCACTCTCTCCCCCTCTATACCATGCAAGTTCTGCATCAAACATTTTTCATATTATTACAAATAACGGGGATATTCAAAGTGAACCAAATTATTGTCCGATCTTGTATAATACTTGGTTATATCTGAAGTAACTTATATCACTTTCTAAATCATTGACTCATTAATATTCCGTAGAGTGAGGGAAAATTGCATTGTGCAAGAGCAACCTTTAGAACATTAAGGGCTCGTCCGGAAGGACAGGTTTTCTTCGGAGGATGCTTTCCAAGTTGGAGAAGGAGAAAGGGTGGGAGAGAGAACTCTGTTTATTTCTTTTTTCACATTCGTTCCGACCTTGCAAGCCGTGCAAGGACCTTCGCGTTTCTTGACCCCAAAAATCGTTTCTCATCCTACTTACTACTCGACGACGCATCAGTATACAAGCATCGTAACCCCTCGTCACTATCCTCCCGTTGCTTTTTCCTTTTGACACAAGAAGACTATCTTAAAGAGTGTTAACCACCCTTGGCTAATGTAAGTCTCCTTCCTTTTTCTTTTTTCTCTTATATTCTTATTTTCTTTCTTTTTTCGAGCGACTCGTTTCAACGCACTTTCTCTTCTTGTTTCTTTCGTTTTCTCTTTCGATTCTTCTTCTTTTTTTTTTTGGGCTAACATAAGTCATATTAAGTGTCGGATTTCGTTTTATCAGGACACAATTTTAAGTTTGATTTCGAAGAGATTATGTTACTTGAGAATCGTGTGATTAAACGTAAATATTAACCGTTTCAATAAAAAATTGCTTAATTTTTAATTTATTCATATAATATTAAAAACCTACTGTAATATTAAAAATAAAGATGAGGATCTCAAAATATAGAACGTAACATTTAAGATAATCAATTCCAGAATTGCATCCGAATATTTCGACGCATGAATTTATAAAAAACTTCTTTAAACCTTTTACTATCCATTGTTATTTTTTTTCCATGCTTAACAACATTACATTTCTTGTTTCCGCGAATTCTTCAAGGATACGCGGTCAGAATGACCGAGCCATTCGAGTAGGATTTTGTCGAGAGTCTCGAATCGTTCAATCCCCAATCGCTATGCACAATGTCGAGTAGATCGACGCACGTGCTCAGACGCTTTCTCAATTAGCGTCGATTTACTTGCTTTAGCGTATGTTAGTAGTGTGGGATTAAGTAACCGATATCTCTCTAATAGAAATCTAGTGTCAACGTATTATCCCTTTGAACTCCATGGACGCATATATCCGTCCAACGAAAGCTAGTGGTATAGACCATGAGCGCATATTTGAGTTCGACAGAAATTACCAGCATGTTTTACATAAATTCTTATTCTACAAATAATCTTATAATAATATATATAATAATGTAATTAGGGACTTTAAAAAAAAAACGAAATATGAAGATATATAATTGGTTATACCTTATTGTTAGCGTGCAAATATTTTTGGGAGTCACTGTACGTTGCACCGTTTTTAATGGATTTTCATGGTAAAGGATGTCTCATAAATTAAATCTAGAAGGAATAGCTCGTTAAGTTAGCAGTAGACTCATAAAATGGCACGAAAGTAATCATAAATAAATCTTTGATAGTAATTTACTTTCACGGTATTCCCCTAAATACAAAAATAAAATTATACTATTGATATTATTACATATCGTTATGGATATTAAATTATACTAACGAACGTTAACGATCTGTCGTAGTTTATTCTATTTCAATTGAATTCGTCCCGTTGCATTAGAAGAAAACTTTTCTTCTTTAGATCACATACTTTCTTTCATGGCGTCTCAGATCTCGACGACTTCCGGGACTTGGATATCTTCACGGCTGGCGCCAAGCGTCCGTTTTCAATTTTATTTCTTCGTCGATCCTAGTCGCCAGCATGATAGTTCTTCCTTCGTAATTGGCCCGTACGATGGATGCGAGTAATTCCTGAGATGGTTCTTCTCTTTCATTCTTTTATCGATAATTACGAACAGTGGCGGCACCTACCTTCAAATCGTAAGGATGCTGCCAACTACCAAACACACGCACAGCAAATACAGTAAATATGCATGTGTACAAAAAATATTAAAATTATTGTAAAAAATTAGGGAAAAAAATTTAACACAAATATTATATAATACAATACATAATAAATATAGTATATAATAGAATTAATGCAGTAATTAGTAATACAGTACAGATAAAGCTTAATAAAGTTGCGTAAATTATCAAGCATTGAAAAGAAGACTTTCTAAATAAATCATTTTTCGATATTGTAACTTCATATTTTTATTTTTATCGAAAATAGCACAAGGATTTAATTCGTAGGATATCAAAACATTCAGATAACAGAAAATTCGGATAATAAAAAGTAAATTAAAATGAATATCACGTAATGACCCAAAGTAATAATATGTTCAAGATCGATTGACAAACGTAGAATTCCAAAGATGTTTTCTTCACATTATGTCGAGTGAGTTTTTACGCTAAGGTCATTACCTGTACCTGTTACCACTAGTCTTCTCTGTGACGAGAAAGAAGTAAGATCAATGGCGTCGGCGTTGATATCAACGCGTCTCAACAATTTTTGTTCTTCTTCTCCTATAACAGATCGTTTTTCAAAAGAACGCGAACTCTTCTAAGATACAACTAGGTATGCCTTATTATTATTTGATAACAGGCCCCGAGAAAAAGTACTCGTTCATTTCTGTTTTTTTTCATTCTTTCTTTCTTTATTTATCTACCGAGAAAGAAGGAGCATCGAAAAGTGAACGATCCAGACTTAATTACGGCTATGTAAGCCGACATAGAACGCAGCAGTTCTGATCTAACAATAAAAAGATGCCCTCGAGAAAAATTACCAAGTTCCCGTTAACCTATCTGATATCGATCGGCCGTACTTGCGACGCTCTAACATACTCGGGATGACTTTTAAGATCGTTTTTGCTCTGGCCCGAAGATAGTCGTTAATGTTTCTCCCTATAAAATCCAATCTGTATAAGTACGTTCGTGAATTCCTTAACGTCTATCGCATTCCTTTCCAAAATTTATTGAGTTACGACAAATTACAAAACAATTTCAATTTTTGAAGTTATACTTTTTTTTAGATTTTGTTTGCAATAGAGTTATCCTCTTTTATTTTTGAATGCTGAATTCAGTGGAAAAATCTCCAAGAATACCTGAAATAGACATTTCGGAATTTGTAATCTCTATAAAATTTCTTCCAATATATTTATTTCTCTAAGAAATATTTTGGTCAATAAAAAAGAAATTTTCGATTTTTTGAAAATTCAAATGACGTTACTCCTTAATAAAAAAATCTAAATTACTCAAAAACCTGACGTGCTTGTACATTTTTAAAAGCAGACTCAGATGCTACGGACGAAACTACGTAATAATTGATATAAAACATATTTGCTGCTGCAATGGCTGTAAATAAGTGAATTCTAGTTGCCTTCTAATTAACTGAAAGTAAAAAATATTTTGTTTTCCAGGTTTAATGATGGAATCAGAGAAAAAAATCTTCGAGATGATGAATAAAAAAGCAGCGATGTCCAAATATTGGATGCCGCTTGTCTGGGCCACGAACATTATCAACAGGGCAAGAAAAGAAGCTCTGATCACTAGTGATCAAGTAGTGCAAACCCTCCTTGTCGAGCTCAGCGACATCCGGAAGAGGCTTGGCGCATTGATCGGTTACGACACTGTTTGCGTTCCTCTCGTTTACACTCAGGTTAGTAGCCTCGAATTTAATTCAAGTTTCTCGCACGTATATTTTGAAAGAAGTTCATTTCTTCCGTAAACTTTATATTCGTGTTCTCAAATGTTGTCTTTTGTTTTTGTTGATTTTTAGTGAAAAAAAATAATCAAATTTGAGTATTTTTTGTTAAGGCTCGTGAGATATTAAAAAAACTATTAATAATACGAAAAGAATTCAAGACTTAAAAGTTATAAAGTAATCTACACTTTTTCGTTTCTGTTAATTTTCACGAAAAAAAAATAATAAAATATCAGCATTTTTAAAGACACATGAAAATGGACAAATTATTAAAAATAAAAGAAAACCTAAATCTAAAATTGTTCTAACTATTCTCAGTCTTATTAGATTTTTTTAATTAATCATCACTTTTGTCATTGATAAAAATATAAAAAAAACTAGCCTTTCCATAAGCGATGACATTTTTTATTAATCTTTCGATTTTAAGAATTATAATATAACATAATTCATAACTCGCAGAATTTCCAAAGGTAACATAAATAATAATTACCATCTCTCTTAACGTAAGGATCATTTTTGGCGTGACTAATTGCGGCAATCGAAAAACAAAAGACGTTACAAATACTCAAAAATACTTTAATATTCTTAAACAATTTACTTCAACAACGTACATGACATATTGCGTTACGCATAGTTTTAATTAGAAATGAAAGTAAGAAAAATATCTGATATATATATATATATATATCTCTCTCTCTCTCTCTCTCCCTCTCTCTCTTTATCCAATTGAATATATTAAAAACATACTTTACGTGCATAAATCTTAAATTGAAATTAACTGCTAAAGAAAATATATAGCCATCGATTTATCAGTTTACATAATCGATTAATTACCATTTATTTAAAAATTTTTGAAAATCATGCACAACAGGTTGAATCCAAGTGTTTATTTTCATGTTTTCTAAGATAAGAAAAAGAAACATAAAAAATAATTATTCTCGGTACGATTAACTCATCGCGTAAGTAGTGGCATCCTCGTACCTATTACGCTGTTGTCCACCGTCATTGACAGATGTCAAATGTTCGATGCGAACATCTTCATCGAGTTCTGACATTCGTTATTATCTGCATCCATAGTTTCCAAGTCGTCAACAGATGATTTATATTACATAACTTTTTACTTCGTTATCGCATCAAAAATACTCCGACTGTTTTGCGTTTTATCGTGGATGCAACCCATCACGAAGAAAACAAAAATAAAAAAGTAAATTAAATACACTTTTCTAATTCTTTTCCGATCAATGGAGCTTTCTTTGTTTGTTCAATCCCCGCATATCCAGAAAATAAAAAACGTTTCACAATTGCTAATAACTTATCATACCTTTTTTATTTTTACTTTTTCTTTTTTAACAAAACTCATCCTTGCGAGTGATTTTCCAAAGTATACCTTTAGTCGTAGTGACCCTTAAAATGATAAATTTCCTTCCCGGAAAGAGAAAATGTTTCGTACTCGCAATTACGCGATGTACGCCGATGTTGTGCAAACATAATTGTTCATCACCTAACATTCCTAATTGTTGAACACAAGTGCCATTATTTTCGCGGTATTAAAGAGACGGCTTGGTATATAATTTCGACTCTACGTGAGTCGCGTCAGGCCATCAAATTCGTCAACTATAGAAGAGGTTAGGATTGTGCACGATAAATTTATTATTTATCTTTTTTTTTTTTTATTACGTCAGAATAATCACTCCTGCGAATCAAAAAGAATATTTAAGTTATTTTATCATTCGTTCAATCTGAAATTCTTGATTACTCGATCCTTGATTTTCATGTAAATCAAAGATTCTAACTATACGGTAGCGATACAATAGTAATTAAGATAATAGCAAGTGTTTATTGTTTGACCAATATGAAGCAACCGATCATTTGTTTTTCACCGAGAGAAAAAGTTTTACGTACCAGTGTACGCAAGGAACGTATTCTTTCTTACTTGTTTCCCCGATAAAGCTTCTCTTGCCGTGAGATAAGGAATACGACGGCACTTCAATGTAATCATTTATTTCGTGATTTACGTCGCTGTTTAATCTTCCATCGGTCGTTAATACTTATACAAACGTAGCTCGAACTTACAATCAATATAAAACAACGTTTAAGAGTATTACTTCTTTTATACGCGTATGTATGTACTTTGGAAACTGCCATTTTTACTTCCATAATACTTAACATGAATATTTTTTCCTTATTCGTACTACGTTTGTATTTGACTAATTATTTGTCTCCCATTACGGGACCTCACTTAAGCAGTTAACTCATTTTTCTTATCATCGTCGAAATATTTTTAGTTATGTCCGATATGACTAGAACAATATTTAAAACCAATTTTTTTATAATTCTTTATGCTAATTATTTATCTTTTTTTTATGATTATTTTCACTGTGCTTGGTGAAATTGCAAGAAGGTTACAATGTAAGAGCTCCGACTGCAACAGCATTCCGTTTAATAATACGTTTACAGAACAGTTTAATGTCTATTTTCCATGTTCACCATTCACCGTATGCGTTTGCACGAGTATCTTGATTTTTTTCATTTTTCGCACGACTTTGTATCTCCTTCGGTGCAATCAAGGACTATATTAATATCAATAAAATATATCAATGTGTGATAATAATTATGACGGTGAAGTAAATCAAAAAATTTGAAATAAATCAATCTTATTATTTATTTATATTAGGTATAAGATAAATCATAGAATAAATTATGTACAATTTTTATCCATAGATTTATTACAAATAATTTTATGTGAATTTTCATGAAATTTAATTAATTTAAAAATTATTGAAATTTTATTTCTGGTAGACATTAACTTTATGAACTACAACCTAGAGTCCCGGTTAATTAAAGAGCTTCTTTCGTAATCAAAAAATAATTCGTTTTTCTTTTTCTTTAATACTACGTTCCAAAGTAAACTATTTGCTTCTGAAATAATAAAAAAAAAGAAAATAATAAGATGATAATAAAAGTAAAGGATTGAATTTGCATGTCATCAATTTATTTTATACATCAATTTAGTGAAACTATATACACGCAGAGTGTAAAAGGCAACAATAAACACAGTTGACAGTACATGCATAATGAAGTTGATGCACGTTGCATGGTCAAGGTCAACAGGGAGTTGGCCAGTAATTTAGCGGCGATACGTCACGCCTGAGGAGACCATTTCACGGCACATTCGAGAGGAATCGGTTAAATTCGTTGTCGCGTACAACGACGAACTTTGATTCCTACCGAACGAATGGCTTGTTTCTTTTTTCCTTTTCTTTCTTGTTCTTTGTCTCTCGTGTAGCTACATAGAGAGAACATGTTACTTGCTTTTGCATAAACTACCGTTTCCCGATGGCCTTCGTCGCGAAAGGCTTGCATATTGTCCTTGATATTCATTCATACGGGTCGATTCCATTTTTTAAACGTTACAGTCGCCAACGATACTATTGCATTTATTTTCTTTTTGTATCGGGTGTACAAAACTAACATATGTAATATGTAAATTATAATATTTCATTTATAAGGTAAATTTATAAGAACTGTGCAATTTTAAGTCAATGAAAAAGAAAACGAGTCGTTTTTAAATGTTCATGTTTATTGATATCAATGTTATTAGTACTGATGAGAATTATCCGTTGAATATGATATCGGCAAAATGGCCACCTCGGCTCTTGTTACAGATGGCGACTCTTTGAACAAAATTTTTAATAACGGATTCACATAAATGGATACCTTTATACTAAAAAATTGCTAAACTAAATTCTTATAAACGTTACAATTTCATTATTGCAATGATTTGCATTAAAGTATGGAGTTCATCAAATTGTCCTCTGAAAGAAATTGTTTATTTTTTACAAGCCTAAAAGAACTTGATTATTTTGTGATCCTAAAGTAAATTATCAAAAAAATTTATTATGAGTATAAAAAGTTTACAGTGCTTGTACATTAAAATTTCCATAAATTCAAATAATTGAGATAATCGCTTTGGCTTGTGAACGACTCATATATTAACCTTATATCGGAAATATGGATCTTTAGGGCCAATTCTATGTTTGAATAACTATGTTTATTTTTAATTTGAAGTTGTAATTAACAAAATACACTATTAAACAATATTCTAAAGATCCTAAAGAGTACTAATAAATTTTGTCAGATTTTTTAAATACTAATAACATTGAAGAAATTCACTTACGGTGGCATTAATAAAATCCACCTTACCGGCGGAGGGTTAACCTCTTAGCCTATAACTATGAGCGAGACTCGTGATAAAGAATTTGTGCCATAATCGGAACCCACGAGTCTGACTCGTGGTAAAGAATTTGTGCCATAAGCTAAAACAACGAGTCTCGCTCGTGGTTAGGAATTTTTGCATGAAATGCCGCGTATTATTATTTGAATCAGCGATTGGATTTATTTCACATGTGTAGGCCAAGGGCTTAAAAATATTTTATATTGAATAATAAAAATTCCTGAAAACTATAAAGTATAGTACTTCTTACACGTTAGTGTAGAGGTGATTTGAAATGATTTATCGAAAGATTCATCGGACAAATGTACAGAAGCAAGCATAACAATTAATGAAAGAATTATTGAAATTCATAGTTTAACAAAGAGCTTTGTGTAGTCATTCGCATTTTCGATGTCTCGGGCTTATTAATGTGTGACTGTGTTTACTTTTCAGGTAGTTACGCTGTCGCTTTACGCGTATTTTTTCTCGGCTCTACTCGGTAGACAGTTTATTGAACGTACTGAAGCAGGTGGTGGGAAGTACGAGGAACCTGACATGTATTTCCCTTTTTTCACGGCTCTCCAGGTATAAACAAATAACATTATTTAATTTTATTATTGTTCAATATTTTAATTTGTAAAATTTGTTTGTAGTTCTGTTTTTATGTTGGATGGTTAAAAGTTGCCGAGGTTCTTATAAATCCTTTCGGTGAAGACGACGATGACATCGAATTAAATTGGCTGATTGATCGACACATTAAAGTAAGTGTCTAAAATTCTTCCATATTGAATATTAAAGCCGGCTCTAGGCTAAGATATCAGAATAGGAACGTAATGAGTTTAGAGAGTGTCAATATTTTAAAATTAAATTACCAACAATTAACTCTAAACAAACAGACCGATCAAATTTACAATTGTCAAACTTTTGCGTACAATTTTTTACATACGCTTATAAGGCATTGCGTTGTTTAAATAAAAGATAGAAAATAAAAAGGACAAATGACCAGGCGTTGTAAAATAGATTGATCTAGGGTTGTACTATATATCCTTAAATATAATTGAACAAATTTAATATTAAAACCAAGAAAATTTTTTGATTAGGCTGGTTACATGATTGTCGACGAAATGCACGAAGAACATCCAGAACTCTTGAAAGATCAGTATTGGGACGAAGTAGTTCCTCGAGATCTTCCATACACTGTAGCAAGCGAACAATATCGACGAGAAGAACCTAAAGGTTCCGCGGAGCATTACAAGGTCAAGGAAAGTGATGCTCTTTACGCGAACGTTATGATGGGAACACAAATTCATAGTCACGTGCAGCATCGCAAAGTTCATCAGGACGACATGTATGCGGATTATGTGAGTGCGATTGATTATCCGAAATTGATCTCTATTTTACTTATTTTCATTGAACATTGTAAATATTTGATTTTTTTTAGGAAAGCGTAGATACGCCATTAGTGGAACGAAGGAAGAATTGGCTTCAACGACAAATCACACGAATGGGTTCTGTGCGTAGCTCATCGACAACGTATAGCAGCGGCGGTGGTTTCTTTGCTCGAAATCGTCACAACAGCGTGTACAGTAGCCCTGAAACAGGAGGCTTGCCAACAACAACTAACCCAAATTTGAAAATGTCGCTATATGACCGTCTCGTAGGTCGTAAAAGTATCCGCAGTCAACGGATGGGTAGACAAGGTGTGTATTTTATACATAAATATTATAGATAGGAAACTATCTAATAACTAAATCTTTCTTTTTACACATTTTATTATCAAGAGTGATGTAATGTATCATTAATTAATAATTATTGAATATACACACAAAAAATAAGAAAATTAACGTCGATTAAATTAATCATTGAGTGTAAAGAAACGATCATAAATTAGAAGCACGTTAACTGATGATATTGCAGCTTCTTGTTTTTACGAGCCATTCAGTATAACGCGGCGTTTATTTTCAAGCCACTCAGAGGACAATAACGTGTCTTTTACGTAATCGTCTCTGACTCGTCTCGAGTATATTGTTAGCATTGTTCTAACGCGTGCAGAAAGGGTATTATATTATTGTAACCAGATCATTTTAAACAATACCGTCGATCCAACTCTTCATAAAGAAACATCAAATAATCAATTGCAGTAGTTGTAACAGTAATACTCGGAGGAAAGTTAAATTCGCGAATTTTCTTTATATTGTCTATTGTATAATTCCGCGTATGAACGCGAATTACGCAATTCGTACACCCATACGACCTTGTATAACCTCATCGATTTCCGCAATTACTTGCCACGTGCCTCGAAAGAAAAAACTCGAGGCCTTGTGCTTCTTTCTTTTCTTTTTCCACTCACTTGCTTTAATATGAAGGAAAAAAAAAACAAGAAAAAGAAAAAAAAAATCGAGAGAAAGAAGAAGAATGCGCGATCCGGTATAATCAAACAATCATCCGCGTTCGTTTTACTGTTCAATGGTGACAGGACAGAATACGGAAAAAATGTGAGTTTCTTTGCTTTGGTCATTGTGTAAATGCAATTGCTCGTAAAAGCTTCTTTGGTAGTCATTAACTTTCCTTATGGAATGCTCATATATTTCCTAGAAACTACGTATGATTCTTCTGTTTAATCGAAATTTTGTTCGAGGAAGTGTCCTCGGTTAATACGGAACTAAAAGAAATGCTAGAAAGCTAACTTATTTTTAATCATAGGTACGATGACGAAATTGAACTCGGTGCCAGTGTCCTTGAAGAACAGGCCACGCATACCGACTCCGGACGTGACAAAGGAGGTGGTCGATCGTGAACAGAGATTGGCTTTGTCAGCAAGCAACACGGCGAACATCGGCGCAGGCGTCGTTGGCGTCATACCAGCGAATGGTCATTATACTACCGACTTGCCCGTGGTCCAGGTGGTCCTTTCACCAATTCAAGAAACTGAGGGGACACCATCGAACGCGAAATCGGGTGCAGCTGCTTTGGCACAAGCAGTATTATCGCCAACATTGACGAGCGCTGGTTTGGTGGCACCTGTTACTCTGACACCAGTAACTATGAGTCAGCTAACACAGTTGGGTCTAGTCACAACGACATCAGCATCTTCCTACAGACCCACGAATATACAAAACAATAATACGATTCAAGCTACTTTGACGGAGGTGAACAGTAGCGAGGAAGAAGGTTCAGGAAGTGGAAGTTCCAGTAGTAGAAGTGAGAGTATCATGGAACAAGAAGAAAGAAGTACTCCTCTAATTGGCGAGAACACTAGTCCCAATATTAGTAACGGTGGTTCACCCACATTCGACAGTTACAACGATCGTTCACCGATTCTGATGAATCCAGAAAAATTAAGCTATGTCGTAGCATTACCAACAACACAAGAGAGTCACTTACAAACAGCGATAGAACCACGTGGCAGAAGATCAGCTTCCTTACCTGGACCACCCGTTGTCCAGCCAAGAGAAGACAGGAGTATGTCATTACCACATTCTCCTGGTCTTCAACCGAGAGAAACTCGAGCAGCTTCCATCTCAAGTAGAAACGATCATCCTAACCTAGATAGACTTGCGATAATTTCGCCAAATCATGACCTACGACCTAGGACTAATAGTTTTGGCCATGAACTTACCAAAAACAACCAGCAACGTAATCAGGAAACCTCGAGGAAGATCAGCAGTGCTTCTTGCAACAATGCCGCGATAACAACAGCACCAGTCGTGCCAAACCAGACAGCAGCCACTCCTAGCAAAAGGGGCGAGGTTTATGTTTGACCGAAATTATTCCTTATCAGACTTTGTCCTGATTCCTCTTTAACGTATTCGTGAATTTAAGATCATTAAAAAGAGAGACAAGATATTTATCTTCATCTTCTCTCCCATCCGTCCACTATTATGATTTTTTTTGTACATAGTATTAATGGTTTGACAGGAGTCCAATCATTAAAATCATTTTATAAACAGCATCGATCGCGAGCCTATTTGTTATGAATTTATTGTTTTAGGAATACAGTTTATTGTCTCGCATATATGATGCTTTGGATTTTGAAAATGACTTTAAAGATTAAGTCAATATTCTGTAAATACTATCTCTACTTGTGCATATAAATACTAGAAACACTCAACGACATAGTTTAAAAAGAGTCTTGAACTTTATAATAAAAATTATAATAGAAAAACACGAAGATGTATGTGTCATGTGGGTATGTTGTGTGTGCGCGCGCATATGTATTTGAATCATACAAGTATAAAAGTATTTAAAATAAAACAACATCAATTTCATATCCTAAATTGATAACACGAAAGTATATATTTTTTATCACATGTGCAATAATGTATTAGCGTGAATGTAAAGCACAGTCTTGCTTTGCCGTAAGATGTATGAATAAACGAATGACGATTATATTAGATTTCTGTCAAAGTAATTATATTAGAATAGACATTGAAGTATAAGTAGGAAAAGTTTTTAACTCTTATTTTAAACGAATTGTAATGAAGTAAGTAATAGACCATGTTTAGGATAAACCGTAATAGTGTGAATACCGGTGCGTTGCAATATAGAATTGATCAATTATGGTATACACAAATATATGAACCATTTGCGTATTTCGTCGTTGTGATATGAATTTTAATACATACCTATTTATATTATACGATACATGATAGAATTGTATTTCGCACGCATATATATAACGAAGTTCAACTGATGTGAGAAGTATGCATTTCTTCACCAATCAAAGAGTCGTCTTTTTTTCACGATAGGAAGACAATTGCCATATTTATTCAATGACATTCAACTCGAATCTTTTGTATACGTCATACTAGAAAACAATGAATTTCTATGCATTTCTTCGCGTATTAATGACTGTACACGAATGAATTATGCCATATAGAAATATTGTATAAAACAGTTTGTATAGTTATCGAGGTTTTGTAGAAGCCGTATTCTTAAAACCTGTATATCCCTATCGAATCTTACTTTTGTTTTTTGACGAGTCGATAGATAGAAAGAGTTATTGTTTTTCAAGGTCAACGAGATCTTGCTAGTATTTCAAAAATGAAATACGAAATAAAGGGAGATCGTTAACGATTCAAAAAATATGATGTATATATAATATAATATATAATATAACATGAAAGTATATAAGGGTGTTCCAACAGTCGCTTTACCTAATAAAGAAAAAGAGAGAGGAAAATTAATATAAAATTAATATCATAATAACAAAAGTTTATCTTTCGTGTCAAGGCATAATCTTCGATTGCGGCTTTATTTAAAAAATGTATAATTTTTCAGCTTGGTACAGCGATTTTTAGGACAACCTATATATAAAACTATAATAAACTTTATTTACAAATTTTAAACAGTCGTTTTATAGTTGCACGATAAATGAAAAAAACGAAGAGTCAGAATTTAAACAGACGAAGTGTTCAATCACCGATAAAATAAAATATCGTGATCGGATGAACGTACAGAAGTTTGTCTTACGGTAAACATATTACATTTTTATACATAGTTAACAGATTAAAAATATCGTCTTACGAGTCGACCGATGTCTCGATATTAGCAAAATATAAAATTGTGTATGTGTGTATTTGTAAGTAGTGACGGTAGACGATTTTTTTCCTTGCTATACAACTCGTGACATGTAATTAATTATAATAGAAGGGTATAAATGAATAACATAGCTTTTCTTCAATACACGCAAGATCAAACGTTGACAAGTTTTATAAATATTATTGCCAATTCGTTAATTGGCTCAATAATTCGTGAAAGCACGGAAAGCTAAAGAAAATATTTCTTGTCGTTATTTATATTGAACGAACGATGCGATCGATGATTTAACAAATAAATATTTTTTTACGACACGATCATGTCTTATTGTATTTAATGAAAGTTCGTCGTGAAACCGAAAGTTTCACATTTACGAAAATTCCGATGGCGAGCGGAGTGTTTCGTGTTGTAGATATTTATCTCTTGCAGTATTTTTTTATATATATGTATACATAAATAAATCGTCTATGTATTATCGCACCGCCTGATAATTGTTATTTCAAGCAATAAAAAGAGAAAGTGCGATTATTAGTTTTGGATATAGATGATCGTCTCTTTTAAAGAGTTAAAAGAAATGTTTCATATTATATTTTGCCTATTATATTATATGTAATCAAGAATAAAATAAATTTTTTTTTAAGTATTGATATATTTCATTTTAACATTATAAACGATTTTTTATTAGATCACAAAGAAATAACAAATAACAATAATAATAGTGATCTATTATAACTATCTTATCGACTGTCGGTTATTGCTTTCAAATTCATTAAATTAAACTTTAGCCTCAGTCGATTAGGTATTCTATATACGTACAAATGATTTTTATTAGAATAATAAAAATTATTTATAATTAAAAAAATAATAATAGTGTAAAAATAATGCTAAAACTGTCTTACCGATTGTCAGTAATAGCTTATAACTTGTTTAATCTAATTCTAGTTTCGATCGATTAAGTATTATATATGTTATGATCAATGTATTACTGCGGGCATTGTATAGAATGCCCGACATTTTTTTAGCTCCAAAAGGTTTTGGTCAATCTATAAAATATGCTTCAGTTAGCTGTGTTTAGAACACGGAGGGAGGGAGAGTTTTTAAGCCCGTGTAAGTGAACAAACCATGGAAATTGAAAAATTTGGAATTAATATCCTTAACAAGTTTCGGACAATCTTTAAAATAAGCTTCAGTGGGGTGTGTTTTAGAGCATGGAAGGGGGAGTGCGTCTCAAGCACCAATTGCAGCGTTTCACTCTCGACACAGCCAATTGGAAGCTGCAACGTTTTATTGCCATGTCAGCAACGCCTCCTCGCCAGCGTTCATTTCTTTACACGATACGATTCAAATTGTAACGTATAACTCTAAAACTGTTCTAAAATTAATAAACGATTATTATAATAAAGTGATCAATTACTATTGGATCTAAAAGTTTAAGGGTAAAAGAAAAAACGATAGAATTTCAAGAATTAATGTATAATTAAAAGTTAAGGGAAGCAGTTATACAATATACAAAAGTTTAAGGGAATTTAGAAAGATATTAGATGTAAAACAAAATATAAACAGTTTGAGGTTAGATAAAGATAGCAGCGAGCGAACAAGCAAACAAGAAATGTCCCAAAGCGAAGGAAGTGACACTGATTGTGAGTGGTTAATAGTAAACGAAGATGTAAAAAGCAAAAAAGAAAGAAAAAGACCAACTGAACAGAAAATAAGTGAGCAAGAAAGAGTAAATTTAAGCAATGATGATATTCTCCCAATTAGAATAGATTTCAGTGAGGAAGAAACAGAAAAGGAAAATAACACTTTCAAAATAAGTCATGATACACAAGAATTACTAATGGAAAAGAGTAAAGAATATGAGGAGGAGAGTCCGCTAATGTCGACATTTTTGAAAAAGCTAGAAAAATTAACTACAGATTTGACGAAAATAATTTTAGACGAATTAAGAGTGTGGAGAGCAGTAATAATAAAAGATGGTGCTCAGAACCTAGGAGATAAAAAACAAAATATGGAGCAAGAAGAATTGAAAAAAATATCGGAAGAAATTACGGAAAAATTTATTAAAAAGAAAAAACAGTCAGAAAAAGAAACAAGAAAAAATAATCAAGCACAAGAAAAAGAATTACAAGATATGGAACAAGAACGGAAAGAAAAGGAGAGCAAAATAAAGGATAAAAAAGTTAGATTTAAAGAAAGGGTAGAAGAGATAGGGACGAAAGATGATTCGGAAATAGATTAAAAAACAGTAACAGAAATATAAGGACTCGAAATGTAAAAACTGAAGCCAGAAAGACAATAGACATATTTCTTTAAGAAATAATAAAAAGTAACTGCTATAAAATTGCAAGTGCAAAACAAAAAGTGACGAAGAAAAAAGAAAGATTAAGGAGTAAATAAGTTTCGATCTTGATTTGACCGAGGAAAAGAATTCAGTACAAAAAAAAATGAAGGGAAAAGCGAAAAGGTATATTATATTTTTTAATTTAATGGGTATAGGAAAGAAATGCCAAAAAATTGTGAACTTTATAAAAGTTTATAAATGAATATCTTCATAGGGCTATCCAAAAGATTATTGGAGGAAAGCATAACAAATGACTGATTAGAAAAATTGGAAGAGTATAGAAATAAGGAACTAAATGTAAATAAAATAACATAAGAAATAATGAAATAAGAAAAAATAAGGTTGTATAAAAAAAATGGATGAACAAACGAAAAAATAACGTGCAATAATTGATCAATATAGACTTATCATTTCTGATAAATATAAACAAAGTCTTATAGTTGAAAAAAAAGATATGTTGTAATTATAATATATAAAATCACTATTTATCTAGACGTATGCTTATATATTACGATAAGCATTATATATTATATCTGATTCATTCATGTATTTTTTTCATAAAGAAATACATTCTAATAAGTTAGCTGTGTCGATTGTTTTAAAATATGTGTACATAAATTATGTTGCCAAAATGAAGCAATGATCAGTATACTGAGGAGCATCGAACACAGAGTATATGTAGCTCTTTTAATATTGAATTCAGTTGTAATCAATTGACTTATTTTGTTATAAAATTAATAATTTTATTACCAAAATTTATTTATTTAATTATTTTTAATCAAATGCCAAAATAAAGCAATTACCAATATACTGACAAGTATCAAACACAGATTATTTGTAGCCACTGTAATATTAAATTAAATTGTAATCAAATGACAGTTGTATTTTTTTTATGTAATTAATAATTTTATTACTAACATTTACTTATTGAATTATTTTTAACGTATCTTTTTTTGCGATCCTGTTCTTTTCTCACGATCGTATAAGAGCTGATAACGGTACATCACTTACGCGTATACGTACATACGAAGAATCTAACATATGCAAAAAAGATTGTAAATATTGTTGAATTTTTCATGAATCGTTACATTCTGATCTAAAAACTTATTTTACTTCTTACTTTCAAACAAATTAATTTCTATAGCACTGGCAGATATATAGATACGTTATTGTTAAGTATTATTCAGGATATATAAAGTATAAACCCGAAAATAGTTTACCTCGAAAGATAAGGTGATTAGAACAATAATGATATATATATTTTATTTTTCGAGCTACTTGCAGAGTCATAACACTAGCAACTTTTCAGTTAGTACAAATTTGTCTTTTTTCAAAGAACTTACGAGTCCTACGCTAATTTGTTATTTTTATTTTATTCGTTGGATTATTTAAAAATATTACGCTATGACGCTGATAAGAACACTCGTGATTATCTCTTTTAGCATGCTAACGGCTACAGAGGTAAGTCATTTTGATATATTTTTTTTAAATTGTTCGTCTATAGTTTAATTAATTTGTCATAATGAATTAAATTTTATTTATTGTATTTATTGTATTTAACGAATTCTCCAGTAAATCAAACTAAAGTTTAATCCTAATCTCTTGTAAGATCTTTGCAACATATGTAAAAAACATTCGATTTAAATATAAATTAATATTTCATTCTTACTGAATTTTTTAACCATAAGAAAAGTGTTAAATATAATTAAATAAATATTTAATTATTTTATTTATTTACCGAATATAAATTTCCTTGTTATTAAAATTAACATTTGTTAATGTATTTGTAGTGTTTCATTTTCTTCTAACAAAAACTAGAAAATAAAATTCGAATTGCAGTCGTTTTAAAGTTTCTACCGATAAATTTTCAGTAACCTTTTTAACGTTAAACGAGCTGATAAGAACTGTTAGTCATGTAAAAGCATTTGTACATTTTTATATCAATAGAAACGTAGCAACTGAATAATTATTCTACTAATTACTGTTCTTATGAATCTAATATCGATGTAAAGAAATAATAAATCGACAAACACACACACACAAATTGTAATTTTATAAATAATATATATTGTATAAATCAACAGGCATTCAATTTTACTATTACAAGAATCATAGATGAGAAAATATTAATAAACAATAACTCGATATTTGACTTTAAAATAACCGGTGATTTTAATTATAACAAAGTCTACATGATAATAAAAAAACCCATTACGGAAAAGGATGGTATTCTCGTAAGTATCGTTAAAGTATCTTCGTATATTTTTTCTAAAAATGAAACAAATCTTTTTCATATTTTGTATCCAGCATCTTCAAATGATTTAAAACTGTTTTGTGATCGATGCTTAGCTCCATATAAATATTATAATGATTGTTAATGTGTCGGTATCCTTCAATTTTTTCTACGGTTTTGTCGACCTTGCAACTAATTAGTCGACCAAAACGAAATGAATCTTTGATACCAAAAATTATTAGTTAAAAGTTAAGTATTAAGTTATTTTGAGAAAGAAATGCATTATGTACTGCAATTATTTTATACAGAGTGCTGTTGTTTACTGCTCTTTACGAAATAGTTGCAATACACACTGAATATTAAGCTCAAAATATAATTTAAAATATTCTTTTAAAAAATCGATTTAAACAGAGATACAATATTTGACAAATGACATTTAAAAATAAGACATCAAATGCACTCTAATATTATAATTCTGTATAATATACTTCATCCTTTGAAACATGTTGTATTCTTTAATTATATTATTTATAATCTTATTTATTTAATACAGATTGATGTAATAGCGGAAAGGTTCGACGGTTTGAAATTTCAGTTACCCGAAAATCCAATTAATCTTTGTAAATTTCTTTCTGAAGAACAATTTTTCAATTTCGAACCACATATCCGACAATTTCATTTTTCGAGAGTATTCAATTTCGAAGGTCAACTTTGTCCGATACTACCGGTAAGAATCAAACCTAATTGGATAATACTAAGAATAATAATTAGTCTTTACGAATATTGAAATAAAAAATATTAATTTTTTAGGGTACAAGAAAGTTGCTACCGTATATGTTCCCGAAGAATATAACACTTTCCAATGACTTAGGTTGCGGAGATTTTGTTTATAATATTAACATAATCACTAGCAATCCAAACAATCCTGATGAGTACAAATATTTGATTTCTAGTCGAACGACAGTAAATATAGAGAGTGAAACTTGTTCAAACACTCTTATATAACATAACATGTAAACAAATTTTATTTTATTGTATAATTTTAAATTCGAGGTTGTACAATATGTTAATTGTAACGATCTTTATAAAACTTATTAAACATTGATAATAAATGTATAAATAAGAATAATTTGTATTAATAATTTTTATCAAATCATTGAAACTGAATTAATTTTAAGAACAATTAGGATCATTGAATATAAATTAATTAAGTGTTAAAGTTTATGAGCAAATAAACCCACATGACTGTACCGAAAACATCAACAATACTTGCATTTCTATAACAGTAGTAAAACGAAAACAATGATCAATGTAAAAGAAACTGAATAATAGAAAAATTTTAAAAATTGCACATAATTAACTCAAAAATCAATATTTTTTATTTTTTACATCATTACTCTTATACTGCAAATATTTGGAAAGTCCCGAAATGTTATGGACGCTAGACGGTGCTGTCGTGCACTATCCCTATAAGTAACAATGTTTCTTATGCACAAATGCAAACAATGTTTAATGCCATTGTTTATTTACAATTTCTATATAATAGGATGTTCTTTTCAAACTAATTGATATTGAAAAATATTTGAATAACAATGAAAACAAAGGATGACTAACTATTAAATAGGAAAAACCAACTATTCCCGCTGTTTTTACAGTTTTACCAACACATACGATTTTTAATAACAGGTATTTTCTGTACGTTATTTTAATTTTTTAATTCACTTGTTATTAATAAAACTTCCAAATTAAACTCGTTAAATATTTAATTAATATAATTATGTATTTAATTTTAAATATTATTCATCCACACCACATCAATATTTTTCAAACAAAAAACTAGTAAGCGTAACGGTGTACGATTTAATCATAAGATTTAACGGTACACTCACTACATATTCATGAATGATTTACAATAGTCTACAATAATTATTATTACATAAGTATTTTAAGGTTAAGTTATATTTGTTACTTTTTTGTATTTTTTAAGATTCAGTAATTTCTAGGAATTTTCAAGATTTGGGAAAATCTAGAACTAAAAAATTAAACCAGGATACTAATAGGGTAAATTTATAGGATACATCTGGCAGTACTGTTTTCTAGTTCCTTGAGCTTAGACGATGACAAGCCATCATGGCACGCGGTCGGAGATGTTGTCACTGAATAACTGATTTAACGAATTTATCGTAATGTTACAAATTATACCTTCTTTATATTAACTACTTGTTTAATCAAGTTTATACGTTTTTCTACTTTACTTTCTGTGTTCATTGAGTTAAAAAAATTAACAAGAAACAATGGTTAAATTAACCGAAGAAATGATTGTGGCACGTACACGAATGTCAGATTTTTCTGCCGTAAAGAAGCTCAATTGCTGGTACGTATTAACAGAACATTTGTTTTTTCAATAAGTCATTTTTATAATTAATTGAAAATAATTTAATTTATAAATTCAAATATTTTGTTTGTATGATTACAATCACTATACAGTGATTTCATTCTTAACTGACTTCACATATAAATGTAAACTGTTAAATATGTGTATATTATTGCAAATAGCAAAATAATGATTAAAGTTAATCTTTAAAATACTTAATAATCGAGTTATTTTATATACATATATAATTGTTCTGTTCAAATATGCATATTAAGTAGAAGTTATAAGTACTTATTTCTGTATATAATTATTTCATCTAAAATATTCATATAAAGCTATAATGTAAATAAAAAATATCACAAAGTTAATATTTTTATATATTACAGGGGATCGGAATTAACAGATGTAAGCATTTTACGTAAAATGGAAAATGTAGAATTATTGTCATTAAGGTAAGCGGTTTTCATTTTATTAAATGATTAACATTATATTAATATATGTATATTATAAATCACTGAAGTTGTCTAAAAAAAAAGTATAGAAACAATACAAATGAATGAAGTATTTTAACTGTTAGATTGAAAATTAAAAAAGGGTTTTATGAATTGAAGTATTTCAATGTATTTTCCTATTTTTTTTAAATGTTATCTTCGATATTATATATACTAATCTATATATGTTGAACCGAAATTTCCAAGAAATACATATATCAATTCGTAGAATTAGGTTAATTTTTCCAAATACCTGCATGCATGCGAAATAAAGAAACGTAGTGCAACTATTGACACGCAATCGCGGGATTTCATAAGAAATCGAGAAAGTCAAAGAATGAGATAATCCAATTGTTACAATAAAAGTCAATTTAAAAGAATTCTCATGTGTTATTATAAATCTATTTTTTTCCTTTTTCCTAAACCTATCAATCTTGAAATGCAAAAATGTAATTATTAGAATCATTAGAACTCAAATTAAAATAAGTGAAATGTTATATACATATATACATTTACATTCTTAAAATTAATTAGTAGCAAAGTTATAACAATCATAAAAAGTATCTTTATTTGAGAATAACTGTCATATATCGCATGAAGCAACAATGATTGTTGTCCAGTCCTGCTATGAACATATTTGGTAGAGGAGTTTGCAATCGCATGTACCACCCACAACAATAAAACCTGTTTCACCCACATGCTAATTTTATATGCAATGTTCTAACTTAAATGGAAATCGTGTCTACTCGTGGATTTTGTTTACTTATTATACCTACTAATATGAATGTAAAATATATGCAAATTAGAAATTGTTTGTTTTGTATGTTTTCTATTAATTATTCATATTATTTTATTATAGAGTTATTATATATATAAATTTTTATTTGCAGTGTAAACAATATTGACACGCTTGCTGATTTTCAATACTGCCACAATTTGCAAAGTCTATTTATTAGAAAGAATAATATCAAAGATCTAAATGAAGTTTGTTATCTCCAAGAGTTGCCCAATTTAAGGAATTTATGGCTTGACGAAAATCCTTGCGCAGAAAAAGATGGGTATAGATTTTCTTAAATTATTTACACATGCACACTTCTGATCAATCACCGCTTAATAAGTATATCGTTTTATCGTTATTATCTGATATGAATAATTAACAGATATCGACTGACTGTTCTTCGAACTTTACCAAATCTCGAAAAACTGGATAATAAAGTAGTATCTCCAGAAGAAGTGCAAACTGCGTTGTCAAGAGGCAGGGTACTCGTGCATCCGCTTGATATGGATGCATCTCCGCCACAATCAGAAATTATTAGTCCAGAGGTATAAAAATCATTTCAATTATGAATTTTTAAACTAAACTTTCTTATAAATAAACCATTAAGTTGCATCTCTGTCGAAACTAATTATATATTTATTATAAGTATAATGTTGAAAAATGATATTAACAAGTTTTATGATTGTTAACTCATTACAAATAAGGAAGTACCTGTTGAGTATATTGAAGAAACACGTGTGGAAAAGCATAGGAGATATAGTTCATCTAGCGACCAGGTAAAATCTTTCTAATTGGTAATGTATTATAGTTAGATGTTCTTAAAACTGCTTTCAACTTATTAATACTGCAATTCTTAATTATTTTAATCTAGGAATTATTAAAAAAATAATACTAATATTTGATACAGTATGGTTACCGTATATAAATGACTGATGTATATATATTTATTTATTTTTTCCAGAGAAGTTACGATGAAATGCATCATACGCAAGAAGAGTATCATGATTCTGACAGAAGAAATGCAAACTGTAAAACATCATTAACTCATCATTATGCTCCAAGCAATCAGTACGCATATGAGGTAAGCTTGTAACTCGTAAGAAATGTTAATTTATGATTAAGTTAGTTAGAAAAATTGAAATAACATGTATCTTGTATGTTCTGACTATATCTTATATTTTTATTATTTGAATAATATTATACTGACAGCTTCATAATGGGCAATCAAAAAGTCAAAATAAAGATGAGAACATGTCTACAGAATCACGCAATTACATTGAGACTTTGGCTACTAACAGTCTTGATATACCTAAGGTATTGTTATCACAACTGCGTATAATTTCCAAAATGTAATTATTTATCTAGATAAATTTGTAGTAGTACATAGCAATGCTATAACAATTTGATTTAACACTACAATCATATGAAACATTAAAGTCATAATGTAAAAGTTAATCATCTTAAACTATTATCTGATTATCTGAACATCGATTAAAGAAGATCCATTATTCCGGTGTATACTAAAGTTCAAAATGTAGAATGTGCTGAATGATTTTATTTCTCCTTTAGTTCAGATAATCAATATTCTATAGTATTTACACAAAGCATAAGCTTTAATATATATATACATATATATTACACTTTATTAAATATCGTATGCTTTGTAGTCAGAACATTATTTATAAGAATTATATTTGCATGTTTATAATCTATTATTATGTTGCCCGAGAAAATTAATCTGTTCTTTATCATAAAAAATATAAACTATAAGGAATAATATTGCAGGAAAACGATGATCAACCAGCAGTGTCAAGACATAATGGTGATTATGATGAGAGACAAGGATATTCTGAATTTGTTAATAATGATGCATCTCAGCATTTATATACGTCACCCTCGCCACGTACTCAATACAGTGTTAAATATGAAACTCAAGAAGATAATCGTTTTGACAGGAATAATTACGAGTATGACGATAAGAGGCAGATAGAATGCGATGAACCATTACCTCAACCATCGTCTCAACATAGACGAATGCCAACTCACCATAGTACTGAAAGGGTCCGAATTAAAAATCAATATACATATATACAGGATGTCTGAGTTATGTTTATAAAACATTTTAATCTTATTTTGAGTGTAGAATACACTCACAACGTGTGTACGAAAAAACCTTAGACATCTTATATAAAAACAAAATATTCTCTTAAAAATGTAATCTAATTTATTGTAATATATGAAATTTAATTTAATACAGGAAGATACAAGTCAAGTGCCTGGTTGGGTAAGACATTCGGATAAGGAAAAATGTAGACCGCAATTTCATTATCATAGACGACCAGTTACAAGAGTATGTATTATGTAAGATTAAATATTTTATATCTTATAATTTTTCTCTTAATTGTTTTCATATTTTAGAACTCAAATATACTCTCTGCTGTATTATGCCTAGTCAAAGAATTGGACTATCCCAGTTTGGAAGTAGTAGAAATGGCAGTTAGAAATCGAATGGATGAATTAGAAGAATGATGTTTCTGACGCCGTCCTCAAAATCTTCAGGGGACGGTTGGCTTTTCTCGCGTTGGCAGTATTACTTCTATCCCAAGTCCAGAATTTTCTGACTCACTCGACTCCAATCAGTGCATTGATAATGATATGAATTTTAACAATGAACATCGTGTATGCAATCATTATGGCATTGATGAAGCTAGTGACAAATCACAAATGCATAATAGAAATGGATCTAATGAAAACTTTAATTTAAATCGAAATTCAAAAACTTTTGTTAATGATTCGAATAATAGGTTTATCAAGAATAATTCACATACATACAAACTTCGTGATTCAGGATCAGATAATATAACAACGACAGCAAATAACAGTGAACATAAAAGACTAAACGACGTTAGAAGAGTAGCAAGCAGCGACAGTATCTCCCGTGGTAACAATAGTGGGATATATTTCAATCAAGGAAGCAAAGATCCAAACCAAGATTGTTTAAGACGATCAAAAAGTCCTGACATTAGAAATACGACAATGCCACTTCGTTACATTCAGTCGTCAAAAGGAACTTGGACGTACAACTTGTAAGTGAAATAATAGAGTAGATTGTTTATTTCTGTCTATGATAACATCAAATGTTTTCAGAGACAGGTCATACGATTAACGAAGATAAAAATAAAAAGAGTACTTATTTAGCTATTGCTTCTAAATTACAACGTAAATCATTTCAATATATGCAAGATGATGAATTATATGTTCTATTTATAAATTAAGGAAACATTGTTCCAGAAAAACAGTATTTATTGTACTTATCAAATATTTGTAATTATAAATTATTAAAATAGCAAATTTTTCAAAAAATATCAATTATTCGTGCTTTGGATTAGAAAATACTAATATATAATACTTGTCAGGCTTGTCATCATTTTGTTAACACATAATTAATTAGGTTAATAGAATGAAATATATTTATAAAATACAAACCTCGATATTCATCATAGAGTAAAGAAAATTTTTCTTTTGAAAATAATACCTTGATCTAAAAGCATAACAAAATGCAGTTTCTACATGTGATAGTTAAAAAGTTAACAAATGCAAAAAATTCAAGACTGTACAAAATGTTTAGATTCTTCATGCATGTGTGCAATATATTATATATATATATGTATAAAGATCTGAATAGAACAGTTAAATGTCTATATTTGCAATGCCTAACCATAGAAAAGCTTCCATATATATGAGTCATTCCACGCCAAAGGGGTCATCTGAAAAAGTAGCCGATTCGGCATAAAATGATCCATATATATATGTATAATGTATATATATAATGTATGTGTACTCTATTTTAATATGTATAAAAACAATCTAGCATAAGGAAGTAATTAAAGTAAAGATTAGTAATAAAAGTATCCAAAATTATAATATTATGAGCAAATGATTCAGTGCTTAATAATAATTCGACAGATGGATTAAAAAATACATTTATGGATTATATGAGAAGAGCTACTCAAGAATTATAATAAAGTGATGTATAAATTCCAAAATAGAATAGAGTAAAGAATATATTGGTGTTTAAAAAAAAACATTAGATATAATTATCTATAGACTGATACGCAGAAGTATAAATTTTAGGAAAGATATCTAACATTGTAAATTATTTAGTTAATGAGATTAAAATTAAATCTTTCTATAACTAAAAGAAACTTCAATACGTAACAAGAAATTAATTAGTTATGATATACATGAATAGTTGTGTAGGAAATTTTTTAAATCTAATGCAATATTTTTCCTTACTCCCAGCCGTCCAGCTTATATATCATTAAATAATTTAAATTCATCATTATTAATATTTACGAGATTACAATTATTATTATTATCGCTATAATTATTGTATGACTGTTATCATTATCATTTTAACTTTTGCGTCATTGTTTCATTATTTTTTGATAATACAATAATAATAATATTGCATTTTATTACACAGAGATTTCATTTAGAAATCAGTTATTTAAAATTATAGTGATTTAATCATGTTACAAAATGCCATTTTTGTTTCTACAAAAAATATATTTTGACGATTAATAAGATTTTCTTAATTAATTAATATTATTTAGTATTATAAGATTCCTATATATATATTAAACATTTCCAATTTTATATTTCATTGAAGACAAAACAAATGATTATATATTACTGCAATAATTTCTAAGAACATATGTGAAATTCATATACAAACCTGTATATATACATGCTTTTAGGCATCTTAATTACGCGAGATTGTCAATCAGTTACTTTGAAATAAACAAAAATTAAAGGTATATAAATTTAAAAAATGTTTTGGACAAAATTTATATAATTTTAAGATTTATGTAAAAAATTATATAAGTTTAAATATTAATTGATACTAAATATATATAAAAAGAGAAGTCTAAACGAATCTGTTTTTTTTTTATTATCATTATTATCGCTAATTAACTAATCGATAATAACAAGAACTTAAAATAGCAACAAATTATATAATCATAATATACGATATGTTTATTCTTTCCTACATTATAATTAGGAAAAAGATTTTATATTAAAAATTTTAGTTGATTTTACTAAATATTTCAAACGCAAACTTGTGTGTGCTAACTAACTAAACTAATTTAATTACTATCCTAAATACTACTATCCGTAAACAAATATGTAACAACATTTAAAAATTCTATATTTATTCTTTATTCGTGTGTGTTACTGTAATAATTAAAAAATGATGAATTACGTTATAAAAATTGTTATGTTCTGAAATGAGTTAAAGAATGTATAGGGTTTCAAAAATTCGATAGCGATTGTTTATGCGTAAGAAATAAAAATCATATATTTTTGTTTAAAACATTTTTTATGTAATTAATTAGTCTGTAAAATAATTTCAAACAAATATATATATTCTATGTTTATATGTTTCTATAATATATGATATACTATATTAATGTTAAAAAGAAATCACGATATCTTATTTGTTAAAATGTATTAATTTGTTGTTATAAGAATGCAATTTATTAACATTGTAAATGAAAAGATATTGTATTTAAGTTAATAAGATATTTATATTTGGAATATATAAAATAATATATACAAATTTCTTAAATTTTTAAACAAAATCTACTGTTATTTAAACTTTTGCATTAATTTACAAAATGTACTTTATTGACCATTTTTATCCTTTCAGCTTTAAAACGCTGTTGCGTGAAAATGATTTCAATATAAGAATAAAATGAGAACAGAACTAAAATAATTGTATGTAAATAAACTTTGATATTAATATTATTTGTTTACAATCAATGATGATAATTATAAAAGAAAAATTGTTTATACTGATATTTTGTGAATGTAAAAATATTATGTAAAACTTATAAATATCATAATTTAAACAAACAATGTAAAGGTGTTAATTTGAAGGTATGTATTAATAATTATGAATACTCTCAATTATGTGTTTATATTCCTGCCAAAACACAAAGCAAATAATCGAATATGGCGCCAAATATCTATAATGTGTCATATATAGTGTATGACAAATTGAGGTTATACCCATTGCCGCACACAATTTAAACGATTTTAAAATGGCGTACGTCTAATAACATTTATATTTTATTACTGTGGAGGCGAATTGGTCAATCATAATATCTTTATAATGAAAAAAAGAAATATGAATTTGTATAGAATGCATATTTATTGATGAAACATTTAATATTAAGAAAATATGAACGTACGATTTTTTAACCTATTGTTTATTTTTAACATTAATAATGATTACATTGCAACAGATTTGTTGAATTTGGATTGTATTTTCATAACCTTTTGAAAGTAACATTAACTCTTATCAAATTTTATCAACTGTTTATCATCTTTCTAGATATTGTGCTTATATTGTGCGTATATAGATATTAATACTGAAAATGACAGCATCCTATACGCTAGGAAGTGATATCGTACATTTAAACGTAGGAGGAACTAGGTTTGTATTAAAGATACTACATATATTTCTAATAAATATGTTAATGAAAATGAAATATTATTTATTAAAGGTTTTCTACGTCTCAACAAACCTTGACATGGATACCTGATTCATTTTTCACTGCTTTACTAAGTAATCGAATTGCCAGTCATCAAGATTTGGATGGCGCATTATTTATCGATAGAGATCCACGAATGTTTTCTATCATTTTAAATTATCTACGTACCAAGGATATTAATTTAAAAAACGTTGACATTCGTTCTTTAAGACATGAAGCAGAATATTATGGTATTACGCCTTTGGTAAAGCGATTAATGTTATGCGAAGATTTAACTCAATCTTCATGCGGTGATGTGCTTTTCTCTGGTTATTTACCACCACCTGGTTAGTATTATTTTATTGCTCTTTTTTTTTCTTTTTCTTTTATGTAAATTTTTTTTTACCTTTAAGGTATCCCATTACAAGAATCGGCAACCATTCCCCCAAATATCAGCGATGTTTCAGTTCACGGTAGAGTTGCAACAACAACTTCTACATCTAGGACAGATACAGCCACTACTTCGCAACCTATAATATCTTCATATCCTTGTAATCAAAATACAAATGGTAATTGTAAATATATGCTATTGTTGAATTATTTTATTTCAATTTAACTAACATTAAATTAAATTATATTTTTTAATGATAAAATTTCATAGGGAACTTGGACATGAAAAGAAGTAGAACTTAATTTAATTGAGTTGGACGTTTCGTCCCTTTATTGGGACTTCTTCAGCAACTTAATCATTAAAGCTCAGCGTCTTTTT